TTTAAGGGTACTATAGGGTTTAGGGGCTAGGGATAACGATGGCATCCAGAGTCTGTGTATTCCAAGACCTTGGGAACCTACGGTTTCGGAACTCTTCCATCAACCTGAAACCCTCCAAGTCCTGCAAACTGCAAGGGTGTAGGGTTTCGGGTTTCGGGGTTTAGGGCTTTGGGCTTCCTGTCTGGGCTTCCCACACAGCCACGGCTCTTTGCGATCTTCACGTCGAGATCTCTCTTTTCTGGTGTCCTTTTTATCTAAGGTCCTACTATAAGAGTCTATGCGAAGTCAGGGTTGGAGCTATCTTTTCCGGTGTCGTAGAAGAAACGTGTCTCATAATCGTGCCATGCCATGGGAGGAAGCTGTCATGGGCAACAAGAGCTGCATGCGGATACGCAGGTGTTCCGACACCTATATTAGCTACAAGTATCGTCAACAAACCGATAGTAGCCGTATAGGAACCTTGCAGACGCCTTTGTAGCTCTTACAGTGCGCCTTCTAGTACCCTTGTTGTAACCCCTTTTCAATAGCCGTGATGATGGTAAGCCTTGCTAACCCTCAACTACTATTGAAAGAGCGGTGCTTTTCGGATCTGTCCTCGCAGCGACCAGGGCATGGCACTCGATCGGGTCGCTGTAGAGTGGGTCAAGCCTCGGCGCTATCTTGGATTTGGGTTCCTGAAGCTCTTTATCCTTGTGGGCCAAGCCATGATAGTCCTTCTTTCATTTTGCTCTGAACCATCAGCTAACAGCTTGCATTCTGTGGACTGCCAGTTGTAGGAGTCGGAGTTGGGAAAGGAGTTGCTAAAAGAAGATCAGTCGCTGCCAGGCCTCTTAGGGTTCAGGGCTTGGGGACCCAGGGTTTAGGGTTTCGGACGTAGGCGTTTCAGTCGTCAGGGGGCCACCTCAAAAACTGAAGGTCGAGCTAGTGTCACTGCTGAGGCCTTTGCCCCTAGGTGAGTTCGAAGTAAAATAAGGCTTCGACATGGACTTAACTGCCGCTTTGTCTGGAAGGTCTTACCTCCTCACAGTGCGAGCGATCAGGACATCACCATGATGTGTATGGCCTCATATTTTGCTTCCGACTACAAGTGCCTGAAATTGCCCTGGGGCCTCGACCTCCCCACCCTCAAAAACCACGAAGCTGACGTTTGACGTGACAAGCAATGTGAAGGATTCACACTGGGAGTTGGGGTTTGGGAGGCGAAAACGGAACATACTACAGACACCAGAACTAAGGTCAATAACAACAACATTGTCATTTCGGTGCTCAAAATCCAGAGTTTGCAGACAACGGGGGATCCAACGAAGTGGGATCCTGAAACAAGGAACCCTGAACAGGGTACCCGCTAACATGAAAAAAACTCTCACTCATCCTGCAGAAGACTACCAGGACTCCTCCTAAACTCTACAGTAAACCACACCCCAACCCTATAACCCTAAACCCTTAAACCCCTACACCCCCCAAACCCTAAACCCTAAAACCCCACACCCCCAAA